ATCTAATGAGTTATAAATGTTTTTTAAAATGATATTTCAGGAAAAAAAGATTTGAGGATACTGTATTGGCTCAATGGGAACAGGATATAAATACATCTCAACTGCTTGTAAAGATGCAGACTTCCTCCTAAGAATTTGTTTTGATTTGTAAAGTGGGGGAGGGGGATCATTTGCCACTTGAGTGAAATTCTGCATTAGAAACTAAACACTGTAATGAAATTCACTGCCAGTTTGTAAATATTTCCTGTTTGTAAATAATCCTGCTGGCAAAATTTGTCCTAAATGACTATTATATACAAAGAACAAAAACTTAACTGGAGATCCACCTGCAACTGAGAGAAACATTCAAGACAATTATCCTTGAGCAAGATTTGTTTCTTAACACTTATTTGATGTACAGGGAACTACAGCAATCTCTCATTATTACTGGTTGTTTTCTTGCTGCAAAGTTAACCTGCAGAAATAGGAGCAGAAGTTTCACTTCCCCCAGCTTACTCATGCAGTCCTTGTAGCAAACAAACTTTTATTAGGCATTCTTGTGAGCTTATATTACAGCTGGTCATTTCTTTGCACCACCAAAAAAAAGTAGAGAGGGAAGAAAGAGCCACGCTTCAATAGAATCCCTTCTTTAGGTGAAAAAAAAGAAAAAAAGGGCACTTGCTGTTTATCAGGAAGAACTGAAAAAAGACATAGATTAGTGTTACAGCTGTAGATTTCATGTTAAAGTCAGAAAGTTGTAGCAAGCAAAAATGACAGTTGCTGCATGGTTAAAATGCTACACTGGGCATTTAAAACATTTCATTATAATAACAGCTTTTGCTTAAGACTCACTGACATCTGAGAATGTCATACCTGGTAGCAAAATAAAACTTGCAAATCTCCATTAGGTTGGTAATTGCTCTTGTTCCCATTGTCAAGATTGCTAAATTGAGATGTAGTGAGTATAGTGAACTGCTACTCACCACAGGGTATGTGTGACAGAAGACGGCTCACACTTTACATTCAAAATAATGAACTACAAAATTACTTTTAAGGAAATACTGTAGATCCACGTGACTTCCACCGACAAGCACATTTTCTCTGACACATTCACAATCAATTAATGAAAATGCATACTTCAGATCACAGAGAAAATACAGAATGGAACATTTTATTCTCTGGGACAATCCTGCTTATAAACATACATACTTTAAATATGTAGTTTTCTTTTGTGAGCACAGTACCAACAAATATCCTAACCGTATCCATCATGTCTTGAAATAACTGTGATTTACATAAGGTCCAGTTTTGTACCACCACTCCACACGGGTAGCAAAACAGGCTCAGGTACACAAAAGTCTCAAGGTCCTTAACTCCACTGATTTCTTGGCTTTCTCCTCTCACAGTCCCATGCATTTCAATAGGATGCCCTCAAGGAGTAAAATATCTTGGCAGAACCAGAGCCAAAGTGAATAAGGAGAGAGAATTGTGTTAGATCCAAAAATCTGTAAGCTCATGTTTTTATCACAAATTTATTATAAAGCTGATAGAGGTAACTGTTATTGTCAGAGCTGACTGCTTAGCCATTATTTCAACCTTTTGCACCTGTTTTAGTGTCTGTCTTGTAATTTATCAAGACATTTCTTTCTCTTTCGTCTAAAGTATCTGCCTGTATGCTTACTGCCAGAGCCAGGAACACTTTACTGTATGCACTAGTGATTTGTTCCAAGGTTGGCTGCAGCTGCCCTGTGCAGCTTGATGGAAGGGTACAGCGGGGCTGGAAACGGCACAGCTTTGTGGAGCATGGCCAGAAATGTGCACACCATGGTATACAGCACCTATAGGTAAAGGGACCAACTGCCCACTAAAAAATCCTGTCCCCTCCTTTTTGGAAACCCAAGCATAGTCTGATCTAGGCTGATGCTCCTGGGGTTTTGTTGCAGTTCAAGCTATGAGAATACAGCTCTGAGAGAAGTAGTAGTTATGTTCTCCCTGACTGTTTAGTCTCTTTAGAAATATCCAAATATGGTACTTAATAGCTTTTTATATAAAACTTCAAGCATTGCTTTGTTGACTTCTGCAGATATGAAGGGTAAATTATCAGTATAATGTACTTCTAAATCTGTACTTATACAGGCCAAAAACTTTCTCTCTTTCTCTCTCCCTCTATAATAAAATAGCATTTCTGCATCAATGTCTCCCTTTCATAAATGTGCCACTTTCTTAATGCCTTGCCAAACTACTGCTGTTTCCTTTTTTCCTTTTATGCATATAAGTGGAAGCTGCTGCGTGCAATGATTAACAACTGTGTCTGGAATATATCTACAGCTTTTATATATATCGTATTTCTGTCTCGGCCCTGATTCTGCAGACCTTCATGCTTGACTTCACACAGCATGAATCTGTGACTTTCATTCTCACTTTAAAATGTATAACAAAAATGAAATTATCACTTGAGTAACTCATTGCTTTCTTGAATGTATTTGTTACCAAGCTTCATAGAAATATTTAAACAACATTTAAACAACAAGCTATTTAAACAACCTGCTAACTTACTGTATTGTAATTTCCTTACATTCACATGAAGTAAAACTTTAAAAAATTACACATCCATAAAAATGTGTTTGTAATCTAATCTTTCTGACACACATTACATGAATGATAATTTAAATGAGCCATACTTCCAAGACAACTTTCAGATCTGAGTGATACCCAAAGTGAGTGAAATCAATACTTCACATGCAGTAATGGGCTCATCATTCATGATGGAACGAGCACTGTTGGCAGGAAACTATGCTTAAGATGAATAAACAAGTCACACCTAGATTTGTATTCAGCAATTTCTTGCACAACTGAAGAGAGGGAAATAGAAAGACATGATGGCTGAGATGCTGGTTTTAAAACCAGTCAAATACAATCTGCAACAGCTACACTTCTGAATAAGATTACCAGTACTCAACAGCACTGAGAGTTCCTCCTGTTTGATCAAATGGCTATAACAAATCTTTATCTTAGAACACTATTTTCATACTTGTAAAGTTCCATTAAAGGTGAAGATGATTCTTTCTCTGTATTAACAAAACGAAATTTGTCCCAGATTCTCAGGCTAATTCTGCTAACATGGTACGACAATTTCTTTTCCTTATCTAATAATAATTTTTAAATCATTAGCTCTTCTCACATTCACTGATTATAATAGAGTAGGATGTAAGTGTGAAATTTTGTACTAAATTAAGCAAGAGAATCATGTTTAATATTTTAGATTTTTACTACAGAAACCTACAAAGCAGCAGATAATTCCAGTCTTCTAATTTATCATGTTTAAACATTTTTGCATTGCTTCAAACTAAGTAGTACACACAGATCATGGTCTCTCCTGTGTTTGAACTTGCACTTGAATACTCGAGTACTGTAAGGCCTTGTACAACGTCTAATGAAGGGTGTGAAAAGAAAGTTGCATAGTCTGTTGCTGAGCACAGGTAACATACATTCTCCTACATTGTTATCACTTCCATACAGGGGGAGATAAAGTAACTTTTCCAGGTACCATAGAATCATAGAATGGTTTCAGTTGGAAGGAACCTTTAAAGATCACCTAGTCCAATCCCCCTGCCATTGGCAGGGACATCTTTCAGTAGACCAGGTTGCTCAAAGCCCCATTGAACCTGGCCTTGAACACTTCCAATGATGGGGCATCCACAACTTCTCTGGGCAACCTGTTCCAGTGTCTCACCACCCTCATCGTAAAAAGTATTTCTTCCTTATGTCCAATCTAAACCTACTCTCTTTCAGTTCAAAACTATTGCCCCTTGTCCTGTCACTACAGGCCCTGGTAAAGGCTTTCTCCATCTTTCTTATAAGCCCCCTTTATATATTGAAAGGCTGCAATAAGGTCTCCCCGAAGCCTTCTCTTCTCCAGGCTGAACAACCCCAACTCTCTCATAGGAGAGGTGTTCCAGCCCTTATTCCATGTTAAAATACATTCCATCTGAAAGCTCTACTTCACTTCCCTATGTTCCTGAGTTCTTACAACGGTTTGGTCTGGGAATTAAATTATCTGGTGGCATACATCAGTCCTCTGAATAGTCATTCAATTTTTTAAAAAAATTATTTGCCTATACAGAAGAAATTATAAACTTGGTGTGAAAGACTGCATGTGCAAGTATGTGAGTGCACTGGTAAGTTTAGACAATGGTAACAACAAAAAGCTGGCTGATTATATTTTTAATATACTTTAGCAATTCTCCTAACCTGATAATAAACATGAGCACGTTATTAGACTAATATAGAACATTGCATCAATGTAGACAGTGGACATAAACTCTTACATATATACCCAACAGAAAATTAATTCTTCGTGTTTATAGCTCTCTTAGAGAACAATATTCATTGCCACCATCTTTCTATGCATCTTAGATGTAACACACAGAAGATGTTTATATAAATATATAGAGAGAGCATAAATAGTTAGGCATACAGTTATATTTACATTCTCCATATATATGTATCTCAGAAATTACTTCCGTATGTATAAAATAACAGTTTTATAAAGATAGCTATCTGTGAAGTAATACATTGGTATGTATCCCCTGTGTTTCTTTTTCCTGTTATTAAATACCTCTCTTTGTTCAGATTCTTTCCACCATTCTTCTCCTTTCCCTGTCATGTTCCCCCAATTTTTCTTTAGTCTGACTAATTTTTTGGGTTTGTTTTTGTTCCTACCTTCACTGTAACAGGCCTGGAGAATTGTGTCTGCCTCCCCTCATCATCTGCAGCTGGCGGTTATGGCTATAATCATCCCAAATAATTCTTCCCTCTTCCTCCAAACCTGTACCACAGTGGCCTGACACATCTTCTCCACCTGTCTTTCAAACTTTTATTGACTTGGTTGGGAAGTCCATGGACCATGACTTCTGTTCCTGGCCTGGATATTTATTTTTCCTGAGTTAATTACCTGCATTAAAAGTCCAATTGGTTATTGGCATTTTATGGTTCTTCATGAAGAAGGAAAGAGTACTTACAGTTTTACTCCAGGTGAGACCTGTGGTATGATGCTCTTTGATATAAGCTTGAAGCTCAGACCAGATGTTCAGATATGACTTCACCCAATCAACATGGCGTGCGTCACTGTGAAAACCGAGACAATATTTATATGTGTGAATGTACTTAAAACCAGAAAGCATTGCTACTCTTGCTTAAAGCAGATAAAACCCAATGTCTGCCTTAAAGCCATGGGCAAATCAGTTAGCAGGCAGCCAGCCAGCCCAGTGCTGAAAATACTAAGGCCTACTACACTGGAAAGCTTTTAGATCCCTCCAGAGGACAAGGGCAAAGGATGCCTCCAGCATAGAGTGCTTCCTGCTGGAAGGGCGTGTCATCATTCTGTTCAGGCGCAAAGTCAAATGAAGAAGCACTAAAGGTATATGAGCTGTGCAGCAGCTACCCAGACTCAGTTTCAGGGTGCTGAATTTTAGAAATTTAAATATCCGTGGGTTCTGTAAGATGTTCTAGCTTCCCAGTTCAAATGTAGCCAGGGTAATACTGGATCATGTTATAGTCATCAGACTAAAATATTTATACATCAAGAATTTTTAAAGTACAAGTCACAAGTTGGCTCTGGAATCATTATTTGGAAGGCTTAGTCTTCCAATGGGACAGTAAGTGAAATCAAGAAATATGTAGAGAGAGAGAAACTGCTTGTAAGATGGAGTCCTTACTTATGAAGAATTATTACTGAATAGTGACGGCTATGACTGGATGCTTACAAGGATTTGGGTGTCTACCTCCTGTTTATTTCCTTTGGAGCTTGATGCTTAATACTGCTGAGGATCTGGGTCAACAGGTTTAATCCAAAGCCTACTGAAGTCAAGGCCTTCCACTCCTTTGGAAGACATTGTGATCTGATTCAGTGAAAAACAGGAAAATAATTCCTTACTAGTGGAAGAACTAAATACCTAAATAATGTACCCTGTTTATACCGTTATGTGAGACATTTTCTTCTCTAGAATAAGTACTAAAACTATATTGTAAAAATCTTCAGTTACCCCAGTAGGTACTGCCTTCAATAGGTAAAATAAAGCTTCAGGAATAATACATAATATATGT